GCCGGGCCTGGCAGGAGGCCCTGGCGGACGCCGGTTGGTTGTCCTTGGCGTCAAGAACGGGGACAACAAGCCGGGCTGCCCCCCCTGCCGGGGGCCGCCCTTCCCCCCAGCCGGGCCTGGCAGGAGGCCCTGGCGGACGCCGGTTGGTTGTCCTTGGCGTCAAGAACGGGGACAACAAGCCGCGTTTGGCTGGGCCGGGGCGGAGAGCCGCCACCCTCTGCGCTCAGGACCGAGTGGCGCACAGCGAGTTTGAGGTGCGAGAAGCAGCGGGAGTTCTGCCCGCACAGCTGCTCCCTGTTACTGACCGTGACAACCCCCATGCTCGCACCGAGAGGATACTGGGAATCCGAACCAGAACCTGCAGCTTGGCAGCCGCCAGTTTCGCCACGTCTGTCCCGCGATCTTAGCAATACTGCCCACAGAGGCACCGCGAGTCCGCTCATCTGGGATCTGGGCGGCAGGGCTACGCAAGGCCAGGCAGAGGGGAAAGACAGGCTGGAGTCCAGGGGCCCGGCTGCCGGCCGGCTCCCCCTGCGGGGAGATGATGCGCGGGGCTGCGGTCACTGTTCACCTCTCGCTCATTGCTTGGGGCCCACGTGGAAAGAGGCAGATACAGCTGCGGCGGGGAAGGGGCGGGGACCACGCGGAGTTCCAACATTAGCCTCTTATTCATTGGCTACGAGTGCCTTCCCGTGTATCCAATCACTAGCCTCCTCCTCGGGACAGCAACACAAGCGCCAATCCATCGGCGGAAGCAGCTGCTGCGTAACAAAGGTCCGCGGAACCTGCCGAGTTTAGCCTAGAGACAGCGGGCAAAGCGCGCGCAATGACACCCCACGCGCGCCCTCTGCGCCAGCTGCGTGTGTCCGCAGGGATCGGCCGCACTACCTGTCTGCGAAACAGAAGCATGTGCTCGGAAACACACACTATTTTGCACGAATGAAACCAGAGGTGGCAGCCGGTCTCATCTGGAACTGAAAGTTAGTAAGAAGGAAATAACCAATGCCCGCCGCTCTCCTGCCCCCTTCCAGCTTCACAGAATCAGAGACCTCCGGAGGTCACCAAGTCCAGCCTCCTGCCCCACCCCTGCCCAGGCTCATCTCATGCAATTCGTTGCTCGCACACTCCCGTCGTAACCATGTTCCAAACTCGCCGCGCTTTAAGGAACAGGCTGGTGAACTAGTTCCCTGCACTGGAAAGAAGGAAGGTTTTCTGGCTCACAAATTAAGGACCTAGCTCACTTTGCGGGCACGCGCATGCGGAGCGCCTGGCTGCCTTACACACCCCTTTCGGGGCGTGGTTTTACATACACCGAGCACAGACACCCTGGGGCCGGAGGGGGCGCGCATCCCGAGTTTGCCCCTAGACGCAAGCGCTGCCCTGTCCTCGCTCCCCGCGGAGGCGCTTCCAGACCCCCGAGCCAGGGGGGAGGAACGGAGCGCAAAGGGGTCATCTCACCTGGCCGGATTCATTCGACGTGCTGGTACCAGACAAGAAAGCGTCCGTCTCCGTGGCCAGGGCGCTGGGCGGGGGGCAGCTCATGGGCCTGAGGAAGGTGAAGTCGCTCCGGTCGGAGCCGGGGGAAAAGCAGGTCCGGTAGCACTGGCTCTGCGAGTCCGCGGGCCGGAGCGTCACCTCCATGTATTTCAGCGTGCCGTCCGAGCTCAGCTGCAGCTTCGGGCTGGGCTGCTGGCACATGTCCCGCGATGGGGAGCGGCTCGCGCAGCAGCCGGAGGCGCCTCTGGCCCGTCTCAGGCACTTGGCGGAGAAGACGATGAAAGTGACCAGCGAGACCGTGCTGACCGCCACCAGCGCGACGATCAGGTAGAGCGTCAGGTCGGGCTTCGCTCTGGGCGTCACCCGGAAATCGCGGGACTTGGAGCTTTCCTCCGAGGCGCTGTCCTCTAAGGAGAGCAGGAGGGTGACTGTGGAGGACAGAGCCGGTTCCCCGTGGTCCTGGACGAGCACGACGATTCTCTGCGAGGCCAGGTCTGTGTCCAGGAAGCCGCGGGCGGTCCGGATTTCTCCGGTGCTCGGAGCCACTCGGAACAAGGAGGAGTCGGTGGATTCCGGCAGCAGTGAATAGGAGAGCCAGGCGTTGTGGCCAGAATCTGCATCCACTGCTGAGACTTTGGTGACCAAGTAGCCCGCGGGAGCAGACCTGGGTACCCTCTGGGGCGCGGCCCCCTCCTGGCCAGCCGCCGGGTGCAGAATGGCCGGGACGTTATCGTTCTGGTCCAGAATGAAGAGGGAGACAGTCACATTGGAGCCCAGCGGAGGAGACCCCGAATCCTGCACAGCCACGGGGATTTGCAGCACCTGCAGTAGCTCGAAGTCAAACGTGCGCTGCGCGTAAACGTGCCCGTTGTCCGGGTTGATGTGAACGAAGGAAGAGGCGGGCGCCTCCTGGATCTGACTCCCCGCGAGCGAGTATGTGAGGCGGGAGTTCTCTCCCTCGTCGGGGTCGGAAGCGGACAGGGCGCAGAGCAGGGCGCCTGGCGCGTTGTTCTCGCGCAGGAAGGCGCTGTAGGAAGGCTGGGAAAAGCGGGGCGGGTTGTCATTCACATCCGAGATGTTCAGCAGTACCGTAGTGGAGGCGCTCAGAGCGGGGGACCCTGCGTCGCGGGCGGTCAGCTCGATGGCGTATTGTGCGGCGGTTTCTCGGTCCAGCCTGGCGCTGGTGAGCAGGGCGTAGTGGTTCTGGAAGGCTCGGATTCGGAACGGCAGGTCTGGGGCCATTTCCAAACGCACTTCCCCGTTGGCCCCCGAGTCCGGGTCTCGCACGTTTAACAGCCCCACCACGGTGTCCAGGGGGGTGTCTTCCGGCACGGGGTTCACCAGGGAGGTCAGCAGGACCTCGGGGGCGTTGTCATTGACGTCCTCCACCTCCACCTGCAGCACGCAGTGGCCTTCCATTTCCGGCACGCCCCCGTCTCGGGCGCGCACGTGGATTCCCCGTTGGCCCCCGAGTCCGGGTCTCGCACGTTTAACAGCCCCACCACGGTGTCCAGGGGGGTGTCTTCCGGCACGGGGTTCACCAGGGAGGTCAGCAGGACCTCGGGGGCGTTGTCATTGACGTCCTCCACCTCCACCTGCAGCACGCAGTGGCCTTCCATTTCCGGCACGCCCCCGTCTCGGGCGCGCACGTGGATTTCATAGAAAGCGGCTTCCTCGAAGTCCACTGAGCCCTGCAGGCGCACGGCGCCAGTGGCCGGGTCCAAGGCAAACCTCTGCCGGACGGCGTCGGGGGCGCGCAGGCCGAAGGAGTACTGCACCTCCCCGCTGGGGCCCTCGTCGGGGTCGGTGGCGTTGAGCTGTATCAGCAGGGCGCCCGCAGGCGCGTTTTCCGGCACGCTCACCTTGTAGAGCGCCTGGGCGAACGCCGGGGCGTTGTCATTGACGTCCACGACCAGCACGGTTATCTGCGCGGTGCCCGACCGGGCCGGGCTGCCCCCGTCGACGGCCGTCAGGACCAGCTCGTGCTGCCGCTGCTCCTCTCGGTCCAGGGCTTGCTCCAGCACCAGCTCCGGGAAGAGTTTTCCGTCCTTCAGCTTCTTCACGTCCAGAGCGAAGTGCGGGCTGGGGCTGAGCCGGTAGGCGCTGACAGCGTTGGTCCCCACATCCGGGTCCTGGGCACTCTCCAGGGGGAAGCGCGCGGCCACGGCGGCGGACTCCGCTATCCTGAGCGCGTGCGGGGCGGAGGGGAAGCTGGGCGAGTTGTCATTCAGGTCCAGAATCTCCACCTCCAGGCGGAAGAGCTCCAGGGGCGTTTCTATGACGACCTGCACCGGCAGCACGCAGCCCGCGCTGGCCCCGCACAGCCTCTCTCGGTCTATCCGGTCGTTCACCAGCAGAGCGCCGCTCGCCAGGCTCACCGCGAAGTGGCGCTTGCTCTGCTCCGAGCCCAGGCGCAGCCGGCGCCCCGACACATCCGCCACCTTTAAGCCTAGGTCTTGGGCCAAGTTCCCCACCACGGTCCCCAGCTCCGACTCCTCCAGCACCGAGTAGCGAATCTGCCCAGAGCCCCAGCCCCAGCCGCACAGGGAAAGCAAACCCAGTACTTGCCATCTCCACGCGGCCTGCGCGCGGCCCCTGGGCTCCATTTCGGGGCTGCCTCTCCTCGACAGAGTCTTTGGCCCGGCCCGGCCCACAGGAGGCCCCGGGGGTGGGGC